ATAATTAAATTCCATTACTTTGTAAAACATATTTTTCAGACCTCAGATGCTAATTTTGTTGCTACTGGTCATTATGCTAAAATTATCTCCGAGAATGGTAACTATTATTTGAGTAAACCCAAAGACCGAGCCAAAGACCAAACTTATTTTCTGTGCCAAATTTCCCCCAAACTCTTGCCAAAATTAATTTTCCCCCTAGCTGACTTAACCAAGGAAGAAGTGCGTCAGTTGGCAAAAAGATTAAGATTGATTAACGCTGAAAAAAAAGATTCAACGGGTATTTGTTTTATTGGAGAACGAAAATTCACCAAATTTCTTACTAATTATTTGCCCTGACAGGAAGGGGAAATAATAGATATTGTTAGTAGAAAAAAAATTGGTCAACATTCCGGAATTGTTTATTTTACGCTCGGGCAACGCAAAAATTTAGGCTTATCGGGACAAAAAGAACCTCATTATGTAGTTGCCAAAGATCGAAAGAAAAACTTGATTTATGTGGCAAGAGGCAGGAATAACCAGTGGCTTTATTCGGATTGATGTATAGTGAAAAGTATTAATTGATTAATCCCAGAAAGGGAATTGGGTAAACACATTGACGGGTCAAAGATAACCGCTAAGTTTCGTTACCGACAATCTGAAATTCCGGTGCAACTTTTCCCGCTAGGAAGTTGCCAAGAATTAAAAGTTGTGTTTGCTGCAAAACTGCGTGCTATTACTCCCGGACAGTATGCCGTTTTCTATTCTGAAAACATTTGCCTAGGCGGGGGAAAAATCTGAACTACGGAAAAAGTTAACGAGCATTGCCAACCAATATTAGAGGCAAGAAACCACTAAAATCTTGGTTATTAAAAAAAAACTGCCGATAGAGCAACCAAATCTCATGCGTATTACTGACCCTAATTTTTTCACGGTGGATGCGGTCGAATTAGCCCAAAAATTACTCGGAAAAATTTTGGTGCGAAAAATTAACGACCAAATCATTAAAGTCAAGATTGTGGAAACTGAAGCCTATATGGGATTGACCGATAGAGCCTGCCACTCTTATCAAACAAATCGGCCACGAAAAAAAGCCGCCGCTTTGTATAATCGAGGCGGCTGCGTCTATGTTTTTCTTATTTATTACCGATACTATTGTTTTAATATTTCCTCCTCTTGGGTTGGTGACCCGCAAGGGGTTTTAATTCGGGCCGTTGAACCACTTGACCATCACACTATCCCTGTTATTTCTCATCACGACAAGAAAAAAAAACAGCATTATCATACCAATGGCCCGGGTAAATTATGCCGAGCTTTGCAGATTGACCTTAGTTTAAACCACCTAGATTTAACTACCAATAATTTAATTTACTTAGAAGACCAACCACTACTCACCGCAGAAGCAATCATTGCCACCGCGAGAATTAACATTGACTACGCCAAGGAGGACAAAGACCATTTATGACGCTTCTATATCAAAAATAATCCTTTCATTTCTCGGAAATAATGCCTGTTGGGGTTTGGATTTTGCCGTATTCGGTATTAATTTCTATACTCTTCTCTTCCTGTTTTTTTTTTTTTTTTTTTTTTTTTTTTTTTTGAAGCATGAAGAATTAATAACAGAAAAATAGTCAGGCAAAAAGAAAGAGTAATCGGTAGAGGAGGAAATTTCCAAGTTAGTTTATTAAACGGAGAGGTTTCCTTTTCGGAAGTGGAGATATTTTTTGCCCTTGATTGCCAATTAGTAACGAAATATTCTTCTTTTATACTGGGTAGAGGTGTTGTTGTTGCCGAAGCACTCTTTCTCATTGGTTGAGAAAAAAATTTGGTTGCTTTGGGAACAGGAGCACTAGAACGTCGTTTTTTTGGTTTTCCTACTAGAAAAGCCAACGCTTCCAGTTTAATTTTGCGAAAATTTTCTAATTTGTCCTGAATAACTAGAAAACTTTCCCAGAAATAGTTTTTTTCTTCTTCTAATTTGACGAATTTTTGGTTATACTCTTCAATCAATTTAGCAAATTTTTCTTCTCAGTAGTCCTCGTGGTCTTGTCATTTTTTTTTTCATTCATCTCCGTGTAAATCCAGAAATTTTCGGGCGATATCATTCGGGTCGTCAATCTGACTTGTGGCCCGCAAAAAGGAAGCGTTTTGGGCGTCACTTAAATCGTCTTGCAACTTTCTAATTCTCTCTTCGGCCTCGTTTAATTTTTTTTTTGTGGTTGTCAGTTCAAATTTCAAATTTCGCAATTTGTCCTCAAAGGATTGGCGGGATTGTTTATAAACACTCGTTAAATTATTCAATTGTTCTTTTTGTACTTTAAAGGACGCTTTTTCTTCCCTAACTTTTTTTCTTAAATGGTTGTTTTCCTCATCCTTTTCTTGTTGAGTTTCTATTAATTTTTGTATTGCCTCATCCTTTTCCCCTAGACTTTTTTTCAGAATATTTATTGCTCGCTCCCGGTCGCAAACCTCTTGACAATAATCAGTTAACAAATCTTGTAATGGAACCAGATCTAGCGGGCAGGCTTCGGAATTCAAATCTCCTACATCTTCAAAAATTTCGGGTTCAGTTTGGTCCTTACTTTTTTTCTGTCACTGGCCGATAAAACGGGCAATTTGTTTCTGGTAACTAGCAGTCTTTTCCTCTTCTCATTGTTTAGCCGCTTCCAGTAATAAATTAATGTTCTGATTATCGCTTAATTCAACCAAAATTACGAGATTTTTTGTGATGGCATCTAACTTCTGCACTGCTAATCCCAACGACCTTTCTTCTTCTTCGACCGGACCACAATCAATAATGTTCAATGGTATTTGTCGACTGTAACTTTCCAGTTGAGAAACTAAAATTGTTTGTAACTTTTCGCTCCGGTAAACTATTGCTCAGAGGACAACAACATTATCCTCTATCTGACTAATTTTTTGGTTTAGATTTTCTAATTCGGGCAAATAATTATATTTTTCGTTAAAAAAACGGACAAAACCAACTCAACATTGATTAATAATAACTTTAGGGTCAGAATTTCTTTCTTCTGGGAAAATGGGGAGTAAGATATCGTTGAGATTAATTTCTGGTGGGGCAATTCTCTCTCTCTCTCTCTCTCTCTCTCTTTATTAACTTTTCTACTATGAATTTTATGTCGGCAATATTGGCGTCATTCATGATTTAATTTTACTGTTGAGCGACCACTTTTTGTTTACTTTTTCGCCCACAACTGATTATATTAACATCCATCATTTAAGACCGAGAAAAATCAATATATGTCCACTTATTAAGCAACGTTGAGTAAAATTTTAACTATAATAGAATAAATCAACAAAAATAAAAATATGTCAAGCAAATTTCCAGGATTCAAAAAAATATACTGGTATTATTGGGAAAGAATGAGAGAAGTCTTTTTTAAACATTGATTAATTCTCGCCACTTATGTTTTGGTAATTAACTGTTCACCCTCTCTCCCCTTTTTCAAAGAGAACAAAATATTTGAAAATAACAGAATAGTTTCGCTTCCTATCTTTATTAATGAAAAACGAAAAGAGCTTGGGATTGATAAGATTGGCAAGATTGGCAAAGAAAAAATGAGGATAAGTAAATTTATTTCTTTTAATATCCAGCTAAGTTCAAAGTCTTATTTTGGTTTTCTTTCTTCCGAAGACTTTTTTGATAAGTTTTACTTTCATTGAGACTGACTTTGAGAAAAAGAAGATGTAAGTATTAGTAGTAGTGGTGGTGGTGGTGGTGAAAAAATGAGAATTGCGAGTTATTTTGAAAAATTGGTGAGAGAAAACATAATTTTGGTAATGATATTACCTCTTTTCCCCTACCTATTTATTTTTTCTTTTCTGCTTCTTGCTCTTATGGCAATTTCCGTTCCCCTTTCGGGAACAATGGTTGCACCTAAGGGAGCTCTTTCTAACCAAGTTATGTCGACGGGCGAAGATGAGTTAGTTCTTATCTCAGCTAGTCCCATTTCTCGTTTCGAAATGTTTTGGGGCAGATTGCTGGCTTATTTTACTCGCTTTCTACTTACTCATCTGGCCTTTGAGATATTACCTTTGATTTTATTAATAATGAACTTTTTCTCCTCACCCTTTTTAATTAGTTTGGTTAATCTGGTTGTTTTTTTAATCCTTAATGTTTTAGTTATCCCTCTGCTTGGTTGTTGTTTAATTTCTCCGATTTTTTATTTTCCTATTACTTCTGGTATTAATTGACTAGCTTTTTCGTCTATGCTTTTTTTTAAAATAGGGGAAAGATTTGGTATAGTCGCTTTTTCTATTCCAACTTTGATCTGGGGATCATTCTGAACCTACCTAGCTTACCGGAAATTTCGTAAAAAAGATTACAATTAGTCTTAAAAAAATTTTTCGGCTGAACCATGATAGTTAGAAAATTTTAGCAAGTTAAATATAATTTATGAAAAAAAAAAATCTCTACATGATAGTAGAAATCCCCAAAAAGGGAGTTAACAAGTATGAGTATAACTTGGCTACGCAAAATTGAGAGTTAGACCGAGTTTTGCCCGGAGCCATGCATTATCCCGAAGAATATGGTTCGATTGAAAATTCCTTAGGTAAGGATGGTGATTTTTTAGACGTAATTTGTTTAAATGATAACCCCACTTTTCCTGGTTGTCATTTGCCGATTAGAATTATTGGTGTGTTAAAAATGATTGACGATGGCGAAGAGGACAACAAGATATTAGCCGTGAATGCGGTTAATTCTCGCTTCCAAAACATTAACGACTTAAAAAATGTTAGTAGTGGTAAATTGGACGAAATTGCTAATTTTTTTCTTCGTTATAAGGAATTAGAAAAAAAAGAAGTAAAAATTTTCGGGTGGGGTAATAAAAAAGAAGCGAAGGAAATTCTTGCTCGCGGTCAATATTTATATCTCAAACACCAGGAGTTAGTAAGGAAAGGTCCTAATCACAAGAAAAAATTAGTCGAAATGTTAAAAGAAGAAGAAATCAACTTGTCGTCATCAATTTAAGATTTTTTAAACCATAGGCTTGAATTTTAAAAGACTGGCCAAATCGCTGTCCTTAATGTATAGAGCAGTGGTAGAAACTTTACCGTGTCCCAAAACTTTTTGTAAAATATTGAGTGGCATGCCAGCTAGAAGATTGTAGGTGGCGAAACATCTCCGCAAAGTGTGGGGTGCTAATTCAATACTAGGGCTAATCCGTAAATCATTCCGCACCCGGTTAAGGAATTCCCAAAAAATTCGTCGGTCGGTTTGGTTAGGTTGTCAATTATGATTTTTCAACTCCGCAATTATTTCGGATGTAATATAAACATAACGTTGTCTTTGTCTTTTTCCCCGCAACAAATACAGATTTCTGTATTCGGGTTCGGGATGTTCTAGTTCGGGATTAAAATTAATTGCTTCGGTCACTCGTAATCCGGCTTTCCAACATAGAAGGAAACAGCAGTAATGTATTCATCTCTTGGTTTCACTTTGACGATTGGGCCGTTGAATAATGAAATCTTGAATTTCTTGTAAAAGTTTCTGGGAGGGGAGTTGTTGTAGTCTTTTTCTTTTTTTCATAAAATCTACAATAGTTCTTCACTAAATTTCCGGTCAAATTCATTTTCCTCCGTTTTATCGTAAAACGGCATACCTCAAATTTTATATTCTCTGTCTTCTCATAATCGTTTTATTTGATTTCCTTTTTTGAGGGAGAGAAGGAAATCTTGTTTTCAAATCTCTTTTTCTTTAAGATAAGCACCTTTCGGCTCAATAAAAACCTGATAATACGATTTTTTAGAAGGATTTTTTTGCCGTAAAAATAGCACATAATCCGGTTCAAAAGGCTTTCCGTCTTCAAAATTATAAAGTTTAAAAAATCGTTCATTACGGACTAAATAAATTTGATCGTATTTTTCTTGAAGTTTATCATATATTCTATCAATATATTTCACAAAATATTTTTCCTCAGAAGTTCCAAAACAATCTTCAAAAA